ACACACACACACACACACACACACACACACACACACACACACACACACACACACACGAACCGTTTCCTCTCGTCCGAATCCATGGTCCGAACACGACGCCACAAAATGACCATTCCTGGCTGACGACAGCGACACACAGAAAGGGCCAAAATACGACGTGCCAGCCAAGATGGAGGAAGGGTGGGTGTGTTTGTTTGGGTGTCTGTCCGGTGATGACGTTGATGCCGCCTGCTGCCGCTGCCGCTGTTGCTGTGAACGTTATTGGGACCATCATCATACGAGATGCAATTGTTAGCGCTTGGTGTTGCGCTCATGGCTTGCCTTGCTTTTATGCTGAATTCAGACGTGACGCCTTTCGGTCGCTCAAGACCAAAGTGAGCAACCGCTGGAAGAACGTTGCCAACGCCGTCAAGAAGCACACCCAAGATGAAGACCAGTGCGTGCGATGGTGGTGGTGCTGATGCTGATGGCCCTGTTGCCTGCCGTCCTTCAGTGTGTGTGTGTGTGTTGGCATATGTGCTCACTTGCCTGCCAATGTGCTCACTTGCCTGCCAATGTGCTCACTTGCCAACCAATGTGCTCATTCGCTAGCTTGTTTGAATGCTTGCTTCCTTCAACACGCACACATTGGTTCACCGCTGCGATTGTACCTTGTCGGGTGTTCCTGTCCTTGTTCCCGCACGAATGCAGGGAATCTCGCCGCGTTGCCTTGGGCGATCGGTTCTTCGGCGCATTCCACTCCTTGACCAAGCGTCACAACCTTGACAAGGAGACGTCAGATATCCTGGTCAGCAGCAGCAGCGTGCACGCCTTACTTGTTTGCATTGTTGCACGGCTGCTCTGACAGGCCGCCCCTTGCTCACGAACAAAACCCACGCACGAGTACGCAAACACCCACGTGCACCCACCCACCAGCACGCGTCTGTTTGTGAATGCGCTTCTCACACACTCATGTACCCTGCATGCGGCTTGTGCATGACCGCATTGCTTTTCCAAACTCAGCAACACATTCCTCAACCAGAGGATGAGCGGCTGATGCTGGAAGAGGAGCAGGCAACACGCGGCGATCACGATGCCGATGAAGTGTACCTCTCCTTGCTGCAGGTGCGGAGTTTCTCACACAAACCCCCATGCACGTACTCAGCCCACCACACTATCCTCGCTCCATGCCATTCTTGGCCATCCTCCTCCTCGCCACCCTGCTGAGCGCGTTGGTTCCACCATCGTGCGCATGCCTTGCCATCGCTCACGCTTGAGTGCACGGTCGTGTGTCGGTGTTGTAGAGCATCCTCCATGGCACGTTGGTGGATGCTGCCTCAAAGCCCGCCATGCTGGAGAGCGCACAGCGGATCTTCCAGCTCTCGCCAACCGACCACGCTGAGCTTGTTCGCCAGGTACACGCTCAGAGAAAGCAAGCAAGAGGGAGGTTGTGTGCGTGTATTCGCTCTTTTGTATGTGTGTATATGTGTGCGTGTGTGTGTGTGCGTGGGTGCGTGGGTGCGTGTGTGCGTGTGTGCATGTTTACAAATGTATGCGTCTACATACACGACGCTTGTCACTTCTTAACTTCATCTCTGATTCACGCTGCAGGCGAAGCACGCTGTTCGACCGAGCGATCTCAAGCACGAGGTTGTGCTGGAGCGACTTCGCATCGCCGCAACAGACACGCTGCCGTCCATCACCCCAAAACATGACATATGTACGCAGCTCCAAGCATCGCCATGAAAACACGCCCCTCCCCCCTACACACACACACACACACTATACACACACACACACACACACACACACACACTATACACACACGCGCGCGCGCACCATGAACCTCGCTTGCGTCCCACTTGTCTTCTTCCACCATCGCGGCTGATTGCATGTGCCCTTGGTTGCTTATATGCCGCCATCCCCTGTGCAGTTTGTGTGCTTGAGCTCGTTGACGACCGCAAGACGCGCAAGAAGGGCGACGCTCGCCCAACTATGGTCAGAGTGGGATGGATAATGCGGACGTGCATGACCATGCGCGTGTGTAATATTGTGTGCACGTGCACACAATTGTGTGTCTACGTGCGCATGTGTTGCGTATTTCTTCTTCTGCCTGCATCACTGCTCATCTCACCGTTCCTCTTTGCTGTGCATCGTGCACGCGTGTGTGTATGTATGTGTGTGTGAGTGCAGCGCTCTGACGTGCTGCTGCAAACACAGCGCATGAGCGTGGCTGATGGCGAAGTCGTGTGGCCTGAGACCTTCTCCTGCCACGCACCTACCCTCAAGTCCACAAACATTCAGATTGAGGTGCGTGCAAGTCACCACCCTCCTGTTGTTCCGTCACTTGCAAATGCGGTCGTGGGCTGCCGGCTGCTCACCCATACTCTCTCCGCATCATCTCCTCGTCGCTCTACGTCTCTACCTCGCTCTCCTCCTTCTTCTCCTCCTCCTCCTTCTCCTCCTCCTCATTCTCCCTCCTCCCCCCCCCGGCTCTTCTTATCATTTGCTCTTGCTCGCCTTGATCTCCTCGGTGCATGTCAAACCTCACTTTGAAATTATTCACACTGCTCACTACCGTCACCCCCCCCCCTCCGCGCCTGTTGTCGCCTGTGCAGCTGTGGGCGGATGTGGATCATGCAGACGCATTTGATCGCGACTCCGTGCGCACATCTCGACCGACAACGACGACAACGACGACCAGTGATGGCGGTGGTGACGCGATGAGCGAGGACGGCGACAGCGCTGTCGGCACGAGCGTATCGTCCTCTGTGCACCGCGGGCGGCGGCCGGGCAATCCGTTTGAGGCCGAGCCGATCCAGGAGGAAGACGAGGAGGAAGACGAGGAGGAGGGCGAGGAAGGGGAAGGGTCTGTGTTTGGAGACGGCGACGAGGGCAACCCCTTCGGCACCTTCTCGCAGCTCAACCCCACGGGCGCACACGAGCCCACGGTCGGGGACATGCACGCGTTGGAGAAGCGCAAGAAGAAGAAGAAGGCGAAGCGGCTGCATCGGGCGGTGCTGAAGCGGCTGCGACGCGTCCGTAAGGCTGTCGGCAGCGCCGCCAGCGCCGTTCGATCCAGTGGCACCAACCTCTCATCAAGCCTGTCCGCGTCGATGCCAAAGTTCGTTCTCATGCTGATCTGACGCTATTTGTCCCATGATCTTCGCATGAGCGCATGGGCACATGTCTCTGTGTATGTGTGTGTGCGTGTGTGTAGATGTAGATGTGTGTGCATGTGTGTAGATGTGTGTATGTGTGTGTGTGTGTGTGTGTAGATGTGTGCATGTGTGTGTATGTGTGTGTGTGTACATGTGTATGGATGCGTGCACGCGTGCGTGCGCGCGTGCGTGCGTGCGTTCTTCGTAGTTTGCCTGCTTTCCCCATCACCATTTCTCACGCCCCAGCCCCCCCCCCCCGGTGCTGTCCTCACACGACTTCCCACACCACACAGCCTGACATCATCGCCATCATCGTCGTCGTCGTCCCCGTCCACCGCTGAAGGGCCGGTCCTCATTGGCCGCGGCTTCGTTCCGCTCGCCACCCTCACCCGCGACTCAGAGCACGTGGTCAGTCGAAGTGGGTCTTGATATGTGTGTGTGTGTGAGTTTGTGTGTCTGTGTGTGTATGTGTCTGTGTGTGTGTGTGTCTGTCTGTCTCACTCACACACACACACACACACATAGTTTTCACCTTCACTCACTCACGAACCTCACCAACACGTGTGCACGTCAGGCCGCGCCGCTGTTCCTGCACGGGAAGGACGTCGGATGCACGGTTGAGCTGATGGCGCTGACGGCCCCTGCGGATCTCGGATCCACGCTGCAGGCGGCACGACAGCGGCACGGACACCTCATCCAGAAGGTCCTCTTCCACTGTGTTCGCCAGTTCCAACGAGAGGTACTCAACCACCACGACTGGGATGACACGTGTGTGTGTGCGTGTATGCGTAAGTGTGTGTGTGTGTGTGTGTGCGTGCACATGCGTGTCTACATCCATGCCTGTACCTTTTCGTCTGCGCAGCGATGATGTGCTCTTGCGCCCTCACCACACACACACACACACACACACACACACACACACACAACAAAACACCACCGCACACACACACACACCAAACATCACCGCACACACCATCCTACCTACCCCGCCCCTCCCCAAGGTTGAGGAGCACTCTGCAGCGGCGGACGTGCGGCCGTGGGACGGGTTCATGGACGAGGCTGTGCTATCCCTGCTCAAGCAGCACTCCGACTGGTGCGCCCTCAACGTCATCGAGTCGCGATTGGACCATTTTTGCACGCTGATGGAGCTCCATGCACACTACCCGGTCTCCATCTTCTACATCCAGCAGAAACTCTCCGTGAGTCACCACATGCTGTCGTACTCATCGTTGTTGTTTAAGTTGTTTTAAGTTGTTGTTGTTTAAGTTGCTGTTGTTTAAGTTGTTGTTGTTGTTGTTGTTGTTGTTGTTATTGTTGTTGTTTTACCATGGTTGGCACACGTTTCACGCTGCTCTTGTGTTCACCACCAAACGCAAATTGCTCACCTCACACATGTGCGTGCATGTGTTCTTGTCATTTCGCCAGCGCATCACGAGCCGGCCGCTCCGCTCGCTCGACAAGGCCGACATGGCGCGATTCATGGCCAGCCTGCAGGTCCGTGCACACGTGCACACACACACACACACACACACACACACACACACACACCTGAACGTACAGACACACACACATGTCCACATACGCACGCACGTGCACGCATTGGCTGTCCGGTTGAATCGCCCCCGCTTCCTCCTCACTGCTGATGTTGTTGTTGTGATCACGTATGGAACCAAAACAGGCTGTCTTCTCGTACAGTTTCCCCGTTGTCTCCAGCCCATTCCACTTCAACCCCGACAGCCAAAGTGCGTGCAAACGCACCACTGATCCCAATGCACATGTGAACTCACTTCGCAATTCTAACATGCTGAGCAACATAATTGCAGTCGCTGGTACAACCGCATACGCTCCCACATTCAGCCATACTGACACACAATCACGAATTTTCTCAAACTCATTCACATTCACACACACACACACACACACACACACACACACACACACACACACACACACACACACACACACTACTCACTCGCGCATTCACATCACATGACATCTACCCCTGCTGCCGCTTCCAGACGACCGCGCTCGCTTGAGTGCACACGTGGAGGCGCTCAATTGCGTATTCGACGTGCCCGAGTGGCAGCAGGCCCTCGCCCAGACGACAACTCCACAGGTGCTTCGGTCACTCGATGGAATTGTCATGATGGAGTTGTCATGATGGAAGTGTCAATCTGCAACACACACACACACACACACACACACACACACACACACACACACACACAAACAAACACACACACACACACGCACACACGCAGTCTCAATCACGTTTCTGCCGCACTCACCAACCCCACGTTGCCTGTGGTGGATCCGTGTTTTAGCTTCAGCACCACGTCTCGCTGAAGCACAGTCCCTTCCTGGATGAGGTACAACAGTATCTGCTGACCCACGACCGCGTTACCTATCTCAAGGTCAAGCACATGCTCATCACCAAGTTTGGCGAAGCAGCCTTCCTCGAGCACAAGGGCCAGGTATGTACGTGTATGTGTGCGTGTGTGCGTGTACATGAGTGCGTACTTGTACATGTGTGCGCGTGCGTGTGCGTGTGCGCTCCTGTTTCTGATCACCCATGTGTTGTGTCTGCCTGTACGCTCGGTCACCGCTTTCTTGTCGCCACGATGTGACTGCTCCTGTGAATACCCACTCTGCTTTTGCTCTCCCCAGGTGCAGAGCATGCTGCTGTCGATGTATCAGCTGTCGTCCCAGTCGAAACCAAAGAGTGGCGAACACACACCGCTTTCCGAACGCCTCCCGCAACTCCTCAAGCAGTGCCCCTACAAGGAACTCACATATCAGAAAGTCAAGGTACCTGTGTGTATATGTGTGTTGTTTGTGTATGCATGTGTGTGCGTGTGTTTGCAAGTGCGCTCTTGTGCGTTGTATGTGTATGTGTGTGTTTGCGAGTGCGCTCTTGTGCGTTGTATGTGTATGTGTGTGTGTTTGCGAGTGCGCTCTTGTGCGTTGTATGTGTATGTGTGTGTTTGCGAGTGCGCTCTTGTGTGCATCATTATACGCCATTACTCGACACCACCACCACCACCTCCACCTCCACCTCCACCTCCTTCGCCTTCTCATCCTCCTTTTCCCCCTTCCTCCGTTCATTCACACTCCCCACCAGGACAAATTGCTTGAGGAATACCCGCCGGCGGTCGTGGACAGCGCGCGCAAGTGCATCTCTGTTGCACTCGTGCACGAGCTGAACGAACGGCGGGAGCACGCTGGCGACGCAAAGGCCGCGGTGAGTCGCACATGCCGCTCTCTGTCTGTTAGATGCGTGTTTGGACTTGATTCGCTTGTAGAACAAGCCACATTGCCTTTGCTCACGCCCAACCCCTCTCACGTATGCCCTCTCTCCTCCTCTCCTTGCACTCTCTGCCCGCACCCACCCCCATAACCGTCCGGTCTCTGCAGCACACGACGCTCACGGCGGAGCTGCAGGACAGCATTGCGGTGCGAAAGCATTGGCATCAGACTCATCGACATGCGCTTGATGTGCCCCCTCGCACTCACAGCCACACTCCCTCCCTTGCACTCACACTCACAAGCGTTCACTCAAATTCACTCGCATTCACTCCCACGCTCATGTGTGTGTGTGCGTGCGTGTGTTGATGCAGCACGCTGCGAGGGAGCGATACGTGCTGCTGAAGATGCAAGCGCGTCCAAAGGAGCTCACCGAGGTGATGCACCATCGCAATGCCGTCATTTTGTTTTTCTGCTGTCGTCGCCATCGTGTGCACCTGCTGCTGTGCCGAATCGTGCAATCTACTCATGATATGTGTGTTCGTGTATCTGTAACCGTTACAGACGTCTGATTTGGACCACTATGCGCTCGTTGCTGCTCTCCTGCTGAAAAACCTGGAGATTTGCAACAGTCTCGCTGACTGTTTCCAGGTGGGCACACACACACACACACAAGCACACACGCACTCACAAGCACAATCACAAGCACACACACACACGCACACGCACGCACGCACGCACGCACTCACTCACATACAAGCATACAGACACACACACAAGCATACAGACACACACGCACACACACCCACGCGCGTCAGTGGCTGTTTGTGTGCGTCGCTTCTTGTCTCGTGCTCAACAATTCACCAACACGATACCGCGCCTCACGCTTGCACAGGGTGCCCAAGACCTGAACTTGGTGGCCATTGTGGCGAAATCGTTCGACGGGTCGCTGTGTCAGGACCTGCAAGTCATGCTCGCCACCCGGCGCGAGGAGGTGAGCCCATCGATCGGAGAGGTTGTGATGGGGATGGTGATGGCGGTGGTGGTGATCGTCGAAGTCGTAGTGGTAGTAGTAGTGGCTGTGCTGGACATTGCATATGTGAATGGACAACGATCTTGTTCGGCGTCGCCACCCCCTTAACTGCACACTGTGGACTGTGATGTTGTGGACTGTGATGCTGTCATCCACGACGCACCAATACACAAACCTGCCCAACCGCCACTCACCCCGTGTGAACAACGATTGTAGCTCAACCAGAAACACGAAGTGCCAATCAAGTTCTTCGAGCTGTACTTTGAACTTCACAAGTACGATGCGTGCGTGCATGTTTGTGGCTGTGTGCGTATGGTTGTGCCATGAATCTGTTGTGCATGAGACCATGTCGTGTTCACTGGTTGCGCTCAATTGGTCGCATTCACACGTCGCCGTTCAACGCTGCTCCGTGGCTCTGTGTCGTCCAGCCTGCATGAATTTCTGGACTCAACACTATCGGAGGGCACACTGCATTCTCTCAACATCTCGCGCTTCTGGACGTACGCTGATTCCTGGTGTTGCTGCTTTCGTTAAAGTTGTTGTTGCTGTTGTTGGTGTTGGTGTTGCTGCTGTTGTTGGTTTTGGTGTTCCTGCTGTTGTTGGTGTTCCTGCTGTTGTTGGTGTTCCTGTTGTTGTTGTAGTAGTAGTAGTAGTAGTTGTTGTTGTTGGTGGTGGTGTTCCTGCTGTTGTTGGTGTTCCTGTAGTTGTTGTTGTTGTTGTTCCCCCCCCCCATCATCAGACGAGCGTGTCATTGTCTCCTCTTCATGCTCTCGCAAGCACCGCCACCGCCGTCAACTCAACTCTTGTCCCGCGTGTCGTGTGAATGGCGTACTGCGCAGGTGGTTCCAGCCGTTTGTGATTGAGTGGCTGTATCTCAGCAAGGTCAACTGCAAGGAGATGATCAGCCGCAGCCTCGACCTGGACACGTGGACGCCAATCAACGAGGACAAGGGCGAACTCTTCTCCACATCCGTCATTGACTGCTATCGCATTCTCTTCGACATCCTCAGCTTCTGGGCATCGATCGACTGGCCAGGTGTGCACGCAATCCGATGGCCATGCTTTAGTGCATCATGCACCTGCCATCAATACCAGCGCCCCCCCCCCCAACACACACACACACACACACACACACACACACACACACACACACACACACACACACACACACACACACACACACACACACACACACACACACACACACACACGCACGCATTCACGCTTACGCCGTGTGCCTTTGATGGTTGCAGATGTCGAGGCGGCCGAGGAGTATCTGTTTGCACATCTGTCGGAGACAATCTGCTTCTGCGTGCGCTTCTATGCAGAGGAGATGACAAAGCGTGTGCTTGAGCGCGCTGAGCCCTCACAGGGCCAGGACGTGCTGGCATACACCATCCCAGACATTGTCTTCACGGGCCTGAACAACCTGTGTTTTGCGTCGGAGAAGCTGCGGGAGGTGTACGAGTGCATGGACGTGGACAACGTGCAGCAGTCGCACATGAACCGCGCCAAGATTGCAAACCAGGGCCACGCCGGCCGCCTCAGTACGTCCTCGCTCCTCCATGACGCACGAGTTTGTGTGTGTGTGTGTGTGTGTGTGTATGCGTGTGTATGCATGTGTGTATGTGCACTCACTGAGCAGTGTTCTTTACCCACCTCCCGCCTGCCCTCCCCCAGAGCCGCACAAGTCCGTTCGCCATTTCACGGATACCGGCGACTTCATCGACAGCTGCATGCGCCAGATTGCCCAAGGTTTGTTGCGATACCATGTGGTGTGTGTGTGTGTGTGTGTGTGTGTGTGTGTGTGTGTGTGTGTGTGTGTGTGTGTGTGTGTGTGTGTGTGTGTGTGTGTGTGTGTGTGTGTGAGTGTGCTCGTGGAAGGTTGTGCCTGCGTTGTGCTGTCCGAATTTGCCTGCTCATCCGCCAATGACGTTGTGCTGGCGCGATGTTCTAGGAGTGGCGCGGGTGATGCATGTGCGCATCAAGAACGACGTGCGGTCGATTGCACAGAAGTACGCAACGCACGACGAGGAAGGCGACGGCTTCATTGATCGCCTCCTCTTCGGGCTCCTCGGCAGTCCAGGTTCGTTCAACACTCACCACCACTCCTGCGAAATGGCTTCACCAGCTTACGCTCACTGCGGAACATTTCGCTCTCATTCCAGCGCTCACAACCACATGGTTCTGTGTGTCTGTGTGTGTGTCTGTGTGTGTCTATGTGTGGTGTGTGTGCCTTCCCCAACTCCCTATTCCTACCTCTCGCGTCCGTCTGTGTCTCCGTATGCGCATCAGCGGAGCGCGCGCCGTCGCCGTCTGCGGACAGGAGCGGAGCAGAGTCGACCGACCGGAGTTTGGCCACGCGATTGCGCCGCCGCCAGTCCCGCATGCGCAGCGCATCCGTCGTCTCTGGTGAGATGACGCGGTCGTGTGCATACGTACGAGTGCGTGCATGCATGAGCGGTGGTGACGTGGGAGATGTGATGTGGTGTGCGGAGGTGCTGGCATGTGTCTTGTGTATGTACTTTGTGTGTGTGTGTGTGCTCTGTGTGTGTGTGTAACTGAACGGCACACCATGTGGACGTCATGTGCCTTGTACTGTGCCTTGGCTCTTACCGCCTCCCTCAGACTCACTCGCACCTGTCTCTCCCCCCCCCCACTCGACATCACGTTTTGTGCCGTGTGCATGCAGCTGTGATCCACACAAACCCGTCGTTCCTGTACAACAACTTTGACTTGATGATGGTGAAGCTGCAGAACACGACCAGCATCGACGCGCTGCTGGAGGAAGTGTGGCGCTCGGTGATGGTTCTTCTTCGTAAAGTGTTCCTGAACGAGATACAGACGCCGCTGCGCGCGGACCCGACCAAGCTGATGCGGTTCGTGCTTGCGCTTCGCCGCAGTTTCAAGGCGTTTTTCGCCGGCGGTGGTGAAGGCCTTTCCGACCAGACCATGGTGAGCAAATGCATGTCTGTGTATGGACATGTGTGTGTGTGTGTTTTGTGTGTGTGTGTGTGTCTGTCTGCCTGTCTGTGTCTGTTTGTATGTGTACTCATGTGTGCCGGGATGCTCATCACGCCCCCCCCCCCTCAATCTCGCACCTGCGTTGCAGGAGGACATCAGCGATGAGGAATTCAACACGGTCCTCAGTTATAACAAAATGTCTGGCGAGGATCTGGTCGACACCTTCTTCAAACTCGCCAGCGAACTCCAGGTGTGTGTGTGTGTTTGTGTGTGTGTGTTTGTGTGTGTGTGTATTTGTGTGTGTGTGTGTGTATTTGTGTGTGTGTGTGTGTGTGTGTGTGTGTGTGTGTGTGTGTGTGTGTGTGTGTGTGTGTGTGTGTGCTGGCGTTTCTCGCCGTCGTCGTCAGTGTCATCACCTTCGCTCGTTGACTCATACCCCGCCCACCACCGCCATCACGACCACCACCGTCATGACCCCCTCCCCTCCTTTTCCTCCTCTTCAACCAGTCTGACCCGATTGCGACCGCTATCGCGCACCAGCGCGACGCCAACGCTCGGTTCGTCGGCACCCAGAACTACCGACCCCAGACCAACATCGGCGACATTCGCTTCGAGCTCGCATACGTGAAGCCGACAGACACCCTCACCCTCACGTGCGTGCCTGTGTGTGTGTCTGTGCGTCTGTATCCGTGCCTGTATCTGTGCGTTTCAGTGGCTACATGTGTGTGTGCGTGACTGTGTGTGTGTGTGTGTGTGTGTGTCCGTGTGTCCGTGTGTGTCCGTGCCTGTATCTGTGCGTCTCAGTGGCTACATGTGTGTGTGTGTGTGTGTGTGTGTGTCGTTTGCAACTGTTGCAATAATTTTGAGTCGCATCGCGTCGTTCATCCTGTGGTTTTCCTCGGCTTTGCAAACAGGGTCAAGGGCCTGTTGATGCATGTGCCACAGCAAAACACGTACCTGAACGTTCGTCTGCTTCCCAGCTTCGATGGCCCTCCGTTCAAGGCGCGCTCCGCTGTGCGCAAGGAGGGATGGACCGGTGCCTACTCGGAGACGTTTGAGATTCCAAACATCACATCTGGTCGCGCTGTGCAAGTGCGCGTGCAAGTGCGCAGTCTCATCAAGTTGGACAAGGTCCTTGGCGAGGTAAGCCATTGTAGTATGTTCTGCGGGTGTGTGTTTGAGTGTGAGTGTGTGTGCGTGTGCGTGTGTGTGTGTGTGCGTGTGTTTGTGTGTTTGAGTGTGTGTGCGTGTGTCTGCCTGCCTGCCTACGTGCGTGCTGTCTGCCTGTGCCTGTGCGCATGTATGTCGCTCTTGGCCAGGTTGTTTCCCCACTCGCATGAGCCAGCAGTTCCATGATGTTCATCGCCTGCACCGCCACCTGTTGCTGCACATGTAGGTCCTGTTGGACACGCGCGCGCTCGGCCGCCTTGCCTCGCGTCCTGTGCGCATTTCGATGCCGCTGTTTGGCCTCGTCTACGCCGGCAAGCCAGGATGGATCCAGCAGTGCATTGCCGTAAGTATACACACACGCACACACACATTGCTGTTGTTCCTCGTCCTGCTTATGGCACACATGTGTGCAGCGTGGTGTTTGATTGCATCGCTCATTCCAACACCGATATCTCTATCACACAGAACGTGGCTGAGGGTGAGCGCACGCCCGAGGTGAAGATGTTCCTGGCAAAGTACCAGCAACGCTCCGACTTGTCCTCCAGCACAAACTCTGATTGCTGACCTCTGTGTGTCTGATGTGAATGTTTGTGCATGTCTGTGTATGTGCATGCGTGCATGTGTTTGTGTCTGCTGGGGCAGCTCAGCTTGTCGCGCTCTCCATCCACCACCAAGCACACACCATGCTCGCCGTTGTTTGTTTTTCTGGTTTGTTTCTTCCTTTGCGTTCGCGTTCTTCTGCCGCCATAAACGAATGAGCAAAACCCAGCAAAGACGACGAAGGACGATGGACAGAGTGCGAGAGGTGAAGAGTTTGCTGGAGGCTGCGCTGCAGGTCAGTCAGTGAGTCGTGACGCTGGTGATCGAGCGGGGTGGGAGAAGCGCGCACCCGCACCCGTACAAGTTGTCGCTCACGGTGTTTGCTTGCTTGCGTGCTGTGTCTGTCGTGTCTGCCGTGTCTGGCATGCAGGACAAGGATGAGGATGGCCTGAAGGAAGCTGTCACTGCACTTGGAGACGTGACCATGACCGTTGACATCCTGCGGGTGCGTGTGTGTGTATGTGTATGTGTCTGTCTGTCTGTGTCTGTCTTGCTGTCTGTCTCTGTGTCTCTCTGTGTGTCTGCCTGTCTGCGAGCGTGCACTTGTGCAATGCGAGTGCCACCTTCTACATCTGCACATGTCGCTGTCCCGACTCTTTTGTTTTGATGACATTGGACTCGACGTGGCTCGTACTTTGCCATCTCCCTCACGAGGCTGCTGTGCACCTTCAATCAGGCAACCAAGATCCAGTCTGTCTTGAAGCAAGTTCGAGAGGCGTTAAAGCCAACCAAATCACCGTACGTCTGTGTGCATGTATGTGCGTACATGTGTGTGTGTGTGTGTGTGTGTGTGTGTGTGTGTGTGTGTGTGTGTACCTCTCCGGTTCTCCCACTCACCAACTGCCCCGGCCTCCAATTACTTGTCGCAGGTTGCTTCCCGATGTGCGCAAGGTTATCAAGAGATACAACAAGCTGCAAAAGAACTTCGAGAAGGTAAGAGTGAGAGTGTGAGAGTGAGAGTGAGTGTGTGTGAGAGTGAGAGAGAGAGAGTGTGTGTGTGTGTATGTGTGTGTGTGTGTGTGTGTGTGTGTGTGTGTGTATGTCCATATCTGCGTGAATCCGTGTCTGCGTGAATCCATGTCTGCGTGAATTCGTGTCTGCGTGTGTCCGTGCCTGCGGTTACACCCTGCTCGTCTCAGTTGCCCTCAACTCATCTTCTTCCGCTTGCACCCACACGCACCATGCTAACCGTACGTTCCTGATGTGTGCAACAAACCATCACAGGCAGTGGAGAAGAAAGGTGCCCCGAGTCGGTCCCCCAGGTGATTCACACACACCCACACATATGCCCACTTGCTCCACACGTGATTTCTTCCGCGCTCCTGCGCTCCAACTATCTCGTTTCCCTCCATGTCCCTCCTCCACTCATCACCACATCCACCGTCACGCCCACCACCATCCGCTTCGTTGTCCCTATCCCCTGCAGCGCGTCTTCTGCTGGCGGCAGCGGTGAGCGCCACGCCACGGTGCTGCGCCTCAAGCGGTCGGATGGCACGGACGATCTCACTGTCGTCGACAGCACCACCCAGGGCCTCTCCCCGGGAAATACAGACGCGGCGCGCACCACGCCGTTTACACAACCAGAGCTCGAACGCTTTGGCGAAGCTGTTCCGGTCGGTGTTCTGTGTTTTGTGTTGTGTGTTGTGTGTTGTGTATGTCTGTGTTCTGTGTTGTGTGTTGTATGTCTGTGTTGTGCTTGTCTGTGTTGTGTATGTCTGTGTGTGTGTGTGTGTGTCTGTCTGTCTGTCTGCTTGTCTGTATGTGATTTGTGTTCTGTGCGTGTGTGATATGCCTCTCTGCTGTTAATGCGGTGCCATCAATTCGTCGCCAAACACACACGCGCACATTCTCTCTCGCATGCACATGCTCACACACGACATACGCAAACTGCAGCCGGAAGCGAGTACTGAACACAGCACATGGACACCGCAGCGTCGGTGGCAGCATGTTGACGGCACACTTGGGCCTGGTTCGCGATGGTGCGTGCAGTACGTGTTTTTTATATGCATGCGCCCTCACCTTCTCTTCTCATGTCTCTCGCCTGGCTGTTGCACGTGCTGGGTTTTGGTGTGTCACAACCTTGCACAACGTGTCTTCAAACAAACACACACACACACACACACACACACACAAACACACTACACACACGCACACAGAAACACACACACACACACACACACACACTGCCGCACCCCCATCCTCTCAGGCACATTGTTGTCTCATTACAGGTATCCATGGACAGCACGCATTCCCGTTCGAAAGGCGAAAGGCAGCCAAGTCATCATGGGTCCATATGTAGTTCCAAGATGATGTTCTGGTCCGCCCCAGTTATTGAGCAGCAATGTCCTTTTCGTCCCTTTCGCTCTTTCAACCCCCTTTTCCCTCTCTCTTCTCCCTTGTGTATCCTTTTGTTCGCTCTCACCGTCGCATCCTCGGCACCCGACACGTGTACATACTTGCGTTCTCTCGCTGTGTAATGAAAATGTATTGTAATGCAACATAAACTTCACGCATGCTATCTACCCAGCACTCAATCCATCCAGCACCACGTGCCACCATCGCTGAAAGCAAACACAAAACACGTGCGATTCAGAGCAGTGTACAGCATCCTCCCTTCTTCTTGTCCCCAGGTGTCTCCGTCGTCCCCTTGCCACCATCACCCTCATCATCGCCGTCACCCTCATCGCCTCCGCCACGACTGCTGCGCTTGCTGTCTGCGCCGCCGCTCGCTGCCGATGTCTTGCGCGAGTACTCGTCGCTGTTGCCCTCGTGGGCGCTGGCGCGGCGACCACGACGCACGTCAGACGGCAACACGCCGTGGTGCTCATCAACACCGCGACCATCACCATCGCCAGCACCGTGACCATCATGACCATCATGGGCATCATCATCATCGCCGTGCGTGTGATCAATGACCCACGTTGGGCCCTCAAGCTCGTCCAGCGTTTTCTACAGCAGCAGCGGTGACATGAAGTCATGTGATGTCGTGTAAAGAAGTGAGAGGTGAACCCTGTCGCGTGTGATGGTACTGCAGACACACACACACACACACGCACACACACACGCACACAAACACACACACACACGCACGCACGCACACACACACACACGCACACACACACACGCGCGCGCACACACACACACGCACACACACACACACACACACACACGGTACCTCGTGCAATTTGGGTGTCGGTTTCGGCTTGACGGGCGCTGGCGTTGTGCGCACATCTTTGAGCACACTCCGCTGCGCCAGAATCTGTGAGGGATCGAGACCCGCAGTGCCAAACATGGAGATGCCACGCATCTTGGCGCGCTCCTTTGCCAGACGCGGAAGGGCGAGTGAGATGACCTGATCGCCACCGAGCGCAACGAAGAGGGAGTGGGCGGAGGCGCCGACACGAGACGCCACCGCCCCAATGCTCTGATCAGCAACAAACCGCGTGATGCGCGTCTCCTCGCCCGCATCCCAGACCTTAGGTTGTGTGTGTGTGGGTGGGTGGGTCAGTGAGTGTGTGTGTGTGCGTGTGTGTGTGTGTGTTTGTGTGTGTGTGTGTGTGTGTGTGTGTGTTTGTGTGTGAGTGAGTGAGTCAGTGAGGGACGTGTTTGGATGAGAACCAAAGCGGAAAGCCAAGCCCTGTGTCATTACAGACGCCCCGCCAACAAACAGGACATTGCACCGCGTATCTCAGCTCAATAGACCTCGAGGGCATTGTTCATGATGAGGACGGGCTGTGCACTCGGCGTCACAGCCACGTTGGTGATGGGGTGCAGCGTCTGAAGCGTCCGCTTGCACTCCTGTGGGCCAAATCCCACACTTTCGCCTGCGTTCCACTCCTGTTGGGCCATACACAGCGGGACAAGGAGCGAATGCACACAAGAACGCA